ATATAATATATAAAGTTTTGAATGTCCAGTAATGCAATGCAATGAAGAAAAAGAGGTGCAGACATATGAATTGCTGTAATGATTATAAATTGCATGCTTCTTGAAATGCATTTTGTATGGAAAGCCAAATGTGCCTAATAAATTCAATTCAGTTCATTTATATAGCGCCAAGTAAAAACAGAAGTTATTTCAGGGTACTATACAAAAACATTCACATACACAAAGCCGAATAGCAAAAGTTATTTATCTAAAGGAAGCCAGCACATTGGTTTGAATCTTCACTTTGTGACAGTCTCCCATTATAAACAAAATAAAATATACATAAAAAAAACAGTTCGATATAAACATTCAGTTCAGTAAAATTATACAATAAAATTATATTGTATCAAGTTAAGTCTATTGAAACAAACCCTGATTTTGTACAATTTTTTCAAAGATTATTGTTGTTTGTTGAAAAAAAATTGGAAAAGAAAAATGTGGGCTTGGGCATTTTTCCCCTATTGTATGTGACCCTAAAACTGTGGTACTGTATTGGTGTACTGTTACAGTCCTTGTATATATTCTACCAGATATGCTACCAGGGTTGTCTTCCTTACTACCAGTTATTGTAATTTTAAGTAATTGTGTGCATTTACTTTAAAATACTTGGCTAAGTTCCTAGCTGCACATTACATCGGACTCATGTAATGCACACCCAGGAACAGAAGAACATGTAATGAGAGGACATTCAAAACACAAAACAGACAAGCAGCATATCCTGATGCATGTTCAATAATCCAGGTAGAAAAATCTAAAAAAGTTCAATCTGGTCCTCTGGACATTCCAAAAAAACAAAACAAAAAAAATTGTAGAAACGTTTCGTCTTTCATCCGAAAAACTTCTTCAGTCTGAGGTGCTGTATTCAACTCAGTCTTATAAATAGTACCTTTACTCCTCTCTCAAACCATCGTCCCTCTCTATCAAGAATGTGAACATCTTCATAACTGAAAAAGTGACTGCTGGCCTGGAGATGAGTGTAGACCGCAGAGTCCTGGCCTGATGATGTTGCTCTTTTGTGCAGAGTTAATCTTCTTTTGCCCAGTGGCTGTTTAGTTTTCCCGATGTAAGACTGATCACAGCCCTCCTGACATTGAACAACATACAGAAATTATTCTGTTTGTGCCAGGGGACTAGATCTTTGGGATGAACCAGTCTTTGCCGTAATGTATTTTGGGCTTTACAAGCCATTGGGACGTTATGTTTAGAAAATAAACGTCTCAGTTTCTCTGATACTCCCGCAACATATGGAATGACCACTGCTCTGGGTCTGGGTTCCTCCTTTTCACCTGATGGCTGGCTGGAGTTCTGTTTGGGTTTCTTCTCTGCTTTCAGGAAGGCCCAGTTAGGATATCCACATTGCTCTAGAGCCTGTCTTGTGTGGGATTTATCCTTCTGCCTGGCTCCTGAGCTAGTGGGGACGCTGTCTGCTTTGTGGAACAGAGTCCTGATGACTCCTAACTTGTGCTCCAAAGGGTGATGGGAGTCAAACTGCAAATACTGGTCTGTGTGGGTGGGTTTGCGGTACACCTCGGTTTGCAAATGTCCTCTATCAGAGACTGAGACCTCACAGTCCAAGAAAGCCAACTTGCCATTTTTTACATCTTCTCGTGTGAACTTGATGTATTTATCCACAGAGTTGATGTGGTCAGTAAAATGTTGGACTTCCTGAGATTTAATTTTAACCCAGGTGTCGTCAACATACCTGAACCAATGACTTGGTGGTGTCCCTGAAAAGGACGTCAAGGCTCTCTTTTCTACCTCCTCCATGTACAGGTTGGCAACAATAGGAGAAACTGGAGACCCCATAGCACACCCATGCTTCACACATATTGTTCCCCATATGCGAAGTAGGTTGACTGCAGGCACAGTTTCAAGAGTTGACACAGTTGTTCTGTGGAAAGCGTGGTCCTGCTGCTCAGAGTGGTGTCTGATTTTAATCTTAAACTCCTCTACTGCATCATCAACAGGAATGCACGTAAAAAGTGATGTGACATCAAAAGAGACCATTGTTTCATCAGCCTCCATGATGACATCCCTCACCTTATCCACAAAGTCCTTGGTGTTCTGTATGTGGTGTTCTGAACTGCCAACTAAAGGGATGAGTACAGATGCCAGATATTTGGAAACAATATAAGTGACAGAGTTAATCATGCTAACAATTGGTCTTAAAGGTACACCTTGTTTGTGGATTTTAGGTAAACCATACAGACTAGGTGTGGCCTCCCCTGGGTAGAGTCTGTGGTACAGAATACGGTCAATAGCCTTGTCCTGCTCCAAAATTTTCAGGCAATCTATCAACTTCTTCTTGTAGCCACTTCCTGGATCTCTTTTCAGAGGCTCATAAGTGGTCAAGTCACTAAGGAGTGTCATAACTTTCTCATGATAGTCTTTCTGGTTCAAAATCACTGTGCACCTTCCTTTGTCTGCTGGGAGAATGATGATATTTTTGTCCTTGCTAAGAGTGGTGAGTGCATCATTCTGAGATTTTGCTTTTGCTTTTGGAAACGTTAATTCCTCTTTTTCTGGAGGTAAGTCACATTTTTTGGATGGTTGTTTCCTCTGTTATCGGATACTGTGCAGTTGGAAGTATTTTTAGTGAAACTTTTTTTTGTTTTGGACAGTTATGATGCATAACCATGGCAACAAGGCAGTTTTCTACAACCAACAGCAGCTGATTAACATCTCAAAAGCTCAAATAATATCTCAACTACAGCCCCAAATCTCAAATGAGTTGAAAAGGAGGCTCTGTGGACGCATTCTCATCTACCTGCCAGCCGTGCTCGAGTGCCCGACCACTGAGATCCTGGAACTAGCAGGAAATACGGCTCATGACAGCTTAAGGACAGGATCGACCCTCGGTACAAACAGTTGGCTGTCCGCAGTGACGAGGAGCTCGGCAGACTGCTGGGAGGAGTGGCTATCGCTCTGGGAGGAGTTCTGCCTGGCATGTGGGTGGTCCTACAGCCCAGGGGAAACGAGAGGCCAGCCGAGTCTCGGTGGATGGATCAGACAGCATCTGCAGCCAGTTTCTTAGGATCCATTGTGGGATGGACCTTTACAAGAGATCTTTCCTGCCTACAGCCATCAGTATCTATAACATCTCTTAATGAAATGAGGATAACGAGTTACAACAACAAATAAATTCCCTTTGGGATTAATGAAGTATTTTTGAATTGAATTGAATCCATCTCCTCTCTACCGATGTTGGAAGGTGGTGGTTTGGCATTGCTGAGGCAGGCTGAAACTTTGATTCTGAGCTGTTCTGTCTCACACTCTTTAATTCTGTTGTTGCGGATGGCTGACTCAGTGGCTGTGATCATCTTCACCAGAGGAATTCTTCTTGGTGCAACTGCAAAGTTCAGTCCCCAGGCAAGAATCTCTGTCTCCGGCTGGGTGAGCTGTCTGTTGGATAAATTCTTCACCCACTTTTCTGTCTCCCTGTCGTGTAACTGTCTACTGGAGTGATGTCTTCCACTGAATGTGTTGTTATTGGAATTGTGATGTGTTGACGAGTTATCAGTACGTTAAACTTGTTTTGTTGTCGAGTTTTGGACTTGACATGCTTAGCACAGCATGTCAAGTCCAAAACTTGACAACAATCAGCACCCTGTGAATAGCAAACAGCCATCCGGGTGCTAACGATCCATCGTTAGGCTGATGGTCCACCTTGATCATGTGAGCAGCTGGTTTTGGCTGTCAGCAGCAAACTGGTTGATCCACTACGAGAAGGTGCTATTTATAAGACTGAGCTGAATACAGCAACACAGATTGAAGAAATCTTTCAGATGAAAGACTAAATGTTTCTATAATTTTTGTTTTTTTGAATGTCCTGAGGACCAGATTGAAATTTTTTAGAGACAAGCAGTATGTTCATGTTATTCTGAATGATAGCACTTGAACTCTTAGAATCAATTTTAACATGATTCAAGTAGTAAAGCCCCCAGTATACTCCCGTGTATGTCCGTTCACGCGTACATAAGCATGTACTGTACGCAGAGGGTTCAGACTTCGTACTCGAGCGTACACCCTGAGCAGCTGCAGAGCAGCTTCACAGACAAGGGGCGTTTACCTTCGGGACAAATTGAGGTCACCGATTGGTCATTTGCTGACACGCCTACTGGGTTGATTGACAGGTCGGGGGGGGGGGGGAAGTGCTGGCAGCCTCAGCCGCAGCAGTGTTTTGTGTTTATATGTTGTTAATAAAAAGTTCTAAAAATTATTTTTAAAAAATTGGAACCACTGGCTCTGCAGCCCACACATCAGACCAGCCCACCAGGAAATCTCCAGACCCTCCCGCAGCCATGCTGGACCTAAGTTTAATTTGCTCGTGACAAATTCTTTCATTTCTCACCATTTCAGTCATGGCATCAATGGAGGAGGAAGAGATTGCTTGCCACTTGGCAAAAAAACAAAAGAAAAGGCCAGATCAGGGATGAAGAAGGGGAATTTAATAAATTGGTGTCACATACAAAACAGTCCGCCGCTGGGCAGTTTATTGTGAGACACCACGTACGCCGTCGTAAAAATTGAGCTTTGCACGGACATGCCCTGGGGGCTACGCTCGTACCCCTGCGTACGTATGTGCGTACCTCCGCGTATGGACGTACGCGGGAGTATACTGGGGGCTTTAGACATTGAAATCTTATTATAACTAAAACACTACCTAAAAGAAGAGATTATCAAGAATTTGGACTGAGTTTTACAAAATAGTGCTAAAGCTGTCTAATGATATTGGATCTTTTTAAACTTTGTAACCCAATACGTCACAACTTTTATAGGTATGTGAAGTATGTATGTATTACCTAGGTTTATAAGCTAATAATAAGATCATTGAAAAAAACAATTGAACCCCAAAACATCTCAACAAGTAGAAAATTGAAATCAATGTGAAAGCATATTAAAGAATGTAAACGTAAAAAAAAATCCTAGAATATTCTTTAACAAAAAAAATACTCATCAACCTGTGGTCAACAGGGACATCACCGTATCCTTGCCGCCCCCCTCCAATTATAGGAATTCTTTTATATGATGGAGGAGGGATGTACACTGGGGGTCCAGAATCCTGTGCAAAGTAGTCCAAGTTATGGTCTGTAGTTCTTGATATGGGAATGGGGGTTCTGTCCCTTGCATGCGAAGGAAGTGATTCTCTGCTAGACAGCACCTCACAGCTTCCTCTAATCTGTTGGTGCATCTCATAAGAAGGAGGTCTGGGGGGTCGGGTAAAGTGGAGTTTTGGTGTCATTGGGAGTTGGTTGGCACTAGCTGGCCTACCATTCTCTGGCCAGTGGGGTGCCCTGTAAAGATTTTGGAAAGAAGACGGTGGGTGGCCATTGACCCGCCTGTACAGCTCCCGACCAGACAAGGCTACATCCATATACCGAAGGCTCTCAGATTGCAGCATCCTGGGCCGGGACTGGGATTTGGCTTTAGTCCTTGGATGGACTACCATTTCCTCTGGTGTTCTGGCATTGAACTGTTGCTGCTCCTGTGCCCAGCGCTCATCCTCACTTTGAGAGAGCTGAGGTCCAGATGTCACAGTTGGATGCCACTCTTCTGTCCCTAGGCTTTGACACTTCCTCTCAGCAGCCATCCTCCACTGATGAAGAGCAGCTTCCCTCTCTTTAGAATCGTTATGAGCCAGGACCTGGGCCTGTGATTGAGTCTGAACCTGGACTTGGGCTACCCAGTGCTGCCTCTCTTGAGCTGCCCTTTTATGGTCCTCTACAGAAAGCTCTTGACCTGTTGCTTGTTGAAGTCCTTCAGGCCCAATGTATTCCTCCTGTTCACTTCCATGGGGTTCTCTGTAGTTAGTGTAGTCCGGCAGCACTGTGAAATCCTGGCCTCTCCTCCTCCAAAAGGAAACATCTTTGGACTGCAATTGTGGGCCCCTGCTGGCATCACAAAAGCTGTGAGAAAACAGACAATATACAGAGATCAATATGCTTTCACTGAAATATGGTACACATTGAGAAATTGGGATTCAAGACATAAAAGATTCATTTGCAATTTGTACACATGCAGATAATAAAATTAAAACTTTTTTGTTCAAAGTTCTTCAAACAAAAGATAATAATATTGAAAATGAACCCATGTTAATAAGAAAATTAATTATTTTTAATATAGAATAACTGCTATACAATAAAAGCCTATAGAATGCAAAACATATACATATCAAAACATAATCAGATATACAGTAGAATGTAGCCATTTGTGATTTCATCAAACAGTATGAAAATCTTTTGTCATTTTTTGGGGTGACTGTGGCTGAGTGGTTAGAGCAGTCGTCCTCCAATGCAAGAGTTGGGGGTTTGAATCCACCAGCAGTCACAAGTCGAAGTGTCACTGGGCAAGACACTGAACCCCTCATTGCCTCCGATGTGTGTATCATCAGTGTATGAATTTGAGCTAAAGCTCTGATTAGTCTCTTTAGAATGATTTGTTCAATTAGCTTTGTAGAGATCTAGTAGAGTGCTGTATGAATGGGTAAATGAGGGCACAGATTGTTTGTAAAGCGCTTTGAGTGTCTTGATAAGATAGAAAGGCACTATATAAATACAGTCCATTTACAGTGCCTATAAAAAGTATTCACCCTTTTGAGTGCTTTTTTAAAATCTTTTATTGCTGTCAAATCAATCAGGGTCAACATAAACTGCCATTTTTTAATAATTAAGTAAGTAAGAAGTAACAAAAAAAGTTCAATCTGGTCCTCTGGATATTCAAAAAAACAAAAAAACAAAACAAAGCAAAAAAAAATCTAGATACGTTTCATCTTTCATCCGAAAGACTTCCTCAGTCTGAGGTGCTGTATTCAGCTCAGTCTCTTAAATAGCACCTTCTCAGAATGGATCAACTCTGGATTCCACTCTGAGAAGGTGCTATTTAAGAGACTGAGCTGAATACAGCACCTCAGACTGAGGAAGTCTTTCGGATGAAAGATGAAATGTATCTAGATTTTTTTTGCTTTGTTTTGTTTTTTTGAATGTCCAGAGGACCAAATTGAACTTTTTTTTTATTTTTCTACCTGGATTATTGAGCATGCATCAGGATAAGTAAGAAGTAAGTATGTAACGTAAGTAAGTAAATAAATAAGTAAAGTAAGAAAGTAAAGTAATTAAGTAAGTAAAGTTAGTAAGCAAGTAAATGATAAATGGACTGTACTTATATAGCGCATTTCTATCTTATTTCAAGATACTCAAAGCGCTTTATACTACAATCTGTATCCTCATTTACCCGTTCATACAGCACTCTACTAGATCTCTACAAAGCTAATTGAACAAATCATTCTAAAGAGACTAATCAGAGCTTTTTCACATTCATACACCAATGGGACACACATCAGAGGCTATGAGGGGTTCAGTGTCTTGCCCAGGGACACTTCGACATGTGTCTGCTGGTGGATTCGAACCCCCAACTCTCGCATTGGAGGACGACTGCTCTAACCACTCAGCCACAGCCGCCGTAAAGTAAGTAAATGAAGTAAGTACTGTAAGTAAAGTAAGTAAAGTAAGTAACATCCATCCATCCATCGATTATCTTTTACCCACTTCTTCCATTTTGGGTCATGGGGGTAGCCGGTGCCATGTCCAGCAATCACTGTGTGAGGGGCGGGGTACACCCTGGGCAGGTCACAAGTCCATCACAGGGCCACTTAGAGACAAACAAGACAAACAACCATTCACTTTCTCACTCACACCTAGGGACAATTTAGAGTCACCAATCAGCCTAACATGCATGTTTTTGGTCTGTGGGAGGAAACTGGAGTACTCGGAAAAAACCCATGCATGCATGGAGAGAACATGCAAACTCCACCCAGAAAGGCCCCCGGACAGGGATTTGAACCAGGGACTTGCTCGCTGAGAGGCAACAGCTCTACCAGTTGCGCCACCGTGCTGCAGTAAGTAACATAAGTAAGTAAAATAAGTTAGTAAAGTCAGTAAGTAAGTAAAGTAAGTAACCAGTCAGTAAGTAAGTAAAGTAAGTAATAAAGTACATTTTTTATTCAAACTTTATTTAGACAGATAAGTCACATTGAGCCTAGAAGACTCATTTACAAGTGAGATCTGTTTAGACAGACAAAAAGTAGTGAAACTGGACAAAGTAAGTATGTAAAGTAAGTCAAGTAAGAAAGTAAGCAAACAAGCAAGTAAAGCAAGTAAATAAGAAGTAAAGCAAGTAAAGTAAATAATTAAAATATTTAAGTATATAAGTAAGTAAATTAATAAACCTATTTTCAGTGTCAAAGTTCTATCATTTCTGCAGCGTAATACTCTCTAAAATGTGTAATATAAAAAATGTGGTATAAAACAAAAATATGTGCAATAAATATTCACCTCCTTTAGGTGACTGTCCAAATTCAACTCAGGTATTATGTTTTTGAAATGTATGTTAGAGGATAATAATAATAATAATAATAATAATGAATTTAATTTGTAACACACTTTTCATTAACAAAAATCTCAAAGGATGGATACAAAAGGATTTCTAAAGCCTTAAACATATTCTGTTAAATCCATCATCAAGAAATAGAAGGAATATGGGGCACATAAATCTGTCAACAGCAGGCTATGCTCACAAACTGCTTGACTATACAAGAAAGAAAACAGTGAGAGAGGACAACAAAACATGTGTGACCTCTGAAAAATGACAAGTTTCAGCAGGTGAAATAGGAGAGATGGAGCATACAACTCATGCTGCCCTGGCTCTTCATCAGTCTAGGCTTTATGGGAGAGTGGCAAAAAGAAAGCCAATTTTGAGGAAAAAGCATATTTAATCTCAACTCAAATTTACCAAACAGTATGTGGCAGTCAAATGTTACTCAGCGTCTAACCCTAGCCCTCTCTCGATCTCTCTCTCTCCAACCAATCATTAGACAAATAGCTATTTACAGGTAATATATACATAGATAGAAAACCAGCAAATAGGGAGCACAAGCCAGTGTATCTCTTGTGCCGGTCCCAAGCCCGGGTAAATGGTGATAGTTATGTCAGGAAGGACATTTGACGTAAAACACTTTTGCCAAAACTATAATGCCAGTTCATCAAAGCAAAACCATAATGGTCGAGACCCGGGTTAACAACGAACTGCCACCGGTGCTGTTGACAAACAGGGCGCAGGTGGAAATTGTGCTATTGTTAGTCGAATCAAAAAATGTGGATTCTGCCATTATTTGGTTGGCAGAAACATTAATTGTTCTACCAGAAAGATAAACCACTCCAATGCCAAGCCTGATAGACCGACTACATCCTGTAGCCTATTAATCAAAATACTGTGTTCAACTGTATCAAAGGCAGGCGTTAGATCTAGGAGAACCATCACCGTGGATTCTCCAGTCGGCTGACATCAAAATATCACTGGAAACTTTACAGTAAGTAAAGCAGTCTCTGTGGAGTGGAGCTTTCAAAACCCAGACTGAAATTTGTCAAAAATCTCATGTTTGATCCATGTGAGAGATTAGCTGCTCAGCCACAACTTTTTCAAGAAGCTTAAAAAAAACAAAAAACAACAACAAAAAAAAACCGGGATCTTGGAGATTGACTTGAAATTTCCAAACTTTGCAGGATCCAGGTTTTCTTTTTTTAATAATAGCTCAACAACATCAAGCTTCAACGAGCTTGGAAACACACCTGTTGAAAGAAAAGCATTACAAACATCTACAATGCAGGGACCAATGACAGAAAAAACATTTTTTAACAACACCGTCAAAAGAATGTCATTTGGACTGGTAGAAATTTTCATTTTATCAAATAAAGATGAAATGTCACATAACATCACTTGATCAAATGCAGTCAAGGAATTAAAAAATGAAGAGCCAGAAATAGAGTTAGTAGGAGAGATCATATTTCTCCAGTTTTAGTTTCTCTCCATTGGCTCCCTGTCAAATCCAGAATTGAATTCAAAATCCTACTTCTAACCTACAAAGCTCTCGACAACCTGGCTCCATCTTATATTACAGATCTTATTGTTCCATATTTTCTTAACAGAGCACTTCGCTTTCAGGCTGCAGGTTTACTTGTGGTTCCTAGAATTTACAAATACAGAATGGGATCCTTCAGTTATCAGGCTCCTCTCTTGTGGAACCAACTTCCAATCTCTGTCCGTGAGGCTGACATATTATCCAGTTTTAAAACTTGGCTTAAGACTTGCGTTTTTGCTAAATCTTATAGTTAGGGTCAGCTTGGGTTTCTTGAGCTGTCCCTTAGTTATGCTGCTATAGGCTTAGACTACTGGAGGACAAACTGACCACACTTTTCACTCTGCTACTGTCTTTACTTACTCTGCTCAACATTTGTAATTATTTTTTGTATCCTTAACGTGTTTTTTTCTTTTTTGTCTTTCAGGTACACATGGTCCTTCCATTCTGTGTTCGGCTGTCTCTCCTTCCTGTCCTCTCAAACCAACCGGTCAAAGCAGATGGCCGCTTGTCCTGAGCCTGGTTCTGCTGGAGGTTTCTTCCTCCAGTTAAGACTCTGGCAGCAGCATTAAGACGTTTTAAAGAAGTATTTGGACAGCCAGATAATAAACCATTGCAATAGTGCAGTCTAGACGTGACAAATGCATGGACCAGTTTTTCTGCATCGTTTTTAGATAAGATGTTTCTAATTTTAGCGATATTACACAGGTGGAAGAAGGCAGTTCTGGTAACGTTTTTAATGTGGTGGATAAAAGACATGTCCTGATAAAAAAAAAAAAAAGATTTTTAACATTAGAGCTGGAGGACAGATTAATGCCATCTAAGGAGGGGGAAATACTGAAAAATTCATTCCTAAGGTGCTCAGGTCCAAAAACCAAAACCTCAGTCTTGTCTGTGTTCAAAAGGAGAAGATTAAGGGTCATCCAGGTTTTTATGTCTTTAAGACATGCTTGTAGTCCAAGTAGCTGATTGTATTCATTGGCTTTAATGGACAAA